TCCCATATTGGGAATTGTGTATCGCCATATCTTCAATAACCTGACCTGAATCATCAACATTAAGATTCATAAATCTCCCACTAGCCGCAGAGTCTAAAATTATTCTGGAAGAATTTCCAATGCCGTTATAAAAGGCTTGGATTAACTGCCATTGTGCTAAATTGTGGTGAGGGCATTCTCTTTGTAAGTCCTTGAACCTCTCCCAAGCCTCATATAAAGACTCATCGGCTTCCTGGACAAAGTTCTGAATCGCACTTCGTAGTACTGCTGTTCTCTCTGCAGGATAATACTTGTTATAAAAATTCAAAACAAGAGTTTCCTAGTCAGTAATACCAAGTGTAGTTCTATTCAAACCATTAAACCACAATTTAGCTTTTCCAGTTAAAGAAAAGGGAAAGAGAATCTCCCTTATTTGGTCTTGAGTGACCCCGGCTTGCCTGATGGTGTTGCAATATTGACAATAGTCGGCAATGTGAAGATTCGGGTCTTCACCCTTGGCTCCACTGAATTGCTTCCTCTCTATCATCGTTATAAATTGGGGTTTGATTTCGAATTGAACCCCATCAAGAGCCGGAGTAGGGGTGAGATGTGGAAAATCCGTGAGCTTTGGTTATGAATAATCACTAAGCTTCTTTGGAACGGCCATCTCTGATTCTGTGTCTGATGATACCTCTAAATCGCTAGAATCAGTTGGAGGATCGCGGTGATTATTGTTAGTACCACCAGAATCCGCTAGAATTTGCTTGTAGAAGTTTTTCTGTCTATGGAAGGAACGTTCGATCTCAGGATCGAATGGGATATAACTTGATCTGGAAAGCCTGGGCATAAACAAAAACTAGAAGCAAATATGAGATTTGTCTCAGAGAACTAACGCTCTCTGAGACAAGAGGGAAATAATCTAGACTACAAAAACAATCAGAAATAAAAATAAAACCATTTCTCCGGCAACGGCGCCAAATTTTGACAGGGTAAAGTTGTATCCCCTAATAAAAAATAATTCCTAAATCACTAACTAAGGTAGATAGGGAAGTAGGGTCGATCTCCACAGGGAAACAAGTCTTTTTACTCCTAATTAAATATTATAGTCTAAATTATTTAAGTAACCAATATTTATGAATGAATAAGAAACTAAACTACAAAGAATAGGAATAGGGAGAAAACAATATATAAAAGGATCTAGGGCATAGGTTCACCAATAAATAATACTCCAGGGTAAAACATAGTAATCAATCATTGACATTGCATAAATAACATGATTAACAGGCTCTCGCAATTTATTAAACAACATAGATCTAACAGGCTCTCGCAATTTACTAGATCTAAGTTCTTATTGAAAATAGCCTTTAATATCAAATTAACATCTGCTCGATTCATCAATTAAATATTGTTATACTTTTACAAGCCGCAATTGTAAAACATTAAAACAATCCAATAAGAAATTATCATGCAATACCAACAATCAATAATAGTCAATCATCAATGCATCAATTAACCAAATTGTAAAGGGCTCTCGCTACTTATTACAATCACACAATTAATTTATCGGTATTAAATCTCATCTCTCGATTCTTGACTTAACCATTTATAAATTAACTCGCCTATTGAAACTAGACCTAAACATTAATTCTCATCTCTCGATTCTTGAATCAATATTGTCAAGCTCATGCATAAAAGATAGGCCTAATCTAGTCACAGAGCATTAATTCAATCAATAGGAAATTAATCTAGCATTGATAATCAACAACAATAATTTACCCCTTCATATTATTTATTAGATCCCCATGAACCCTAGAAATTAAATTACTCACACATAATTAAATATAAACTAAGCAGAGCAATAAAATAAATCATGATCAAAGGAATAAAATAAATAACTAAGATTAAGGGAAAAGAAATCGTTACCAAAATAAATCTGAAATTAATCAAAGAAATAATAACAAAGGTTTTGAGAGAGAGTCTAGAGAAAGAAGTCTAAGTAGAGAGAGAAAACTAAGAGAAAGGATTAAGAGAAGAAAAAGAGGTCCTAAAATCGTATTACGGAGGAGTAATTATACTCCGTACAAAAATCCTAAACTAAAACAAATTAAAACGACGCTAATCGTCTCCTAAATATACACGCGCCCGATCGGGCGCGCCTTTTGTCACCTCTAACACTAATCTCGCGCCCGGCAGGGCGTGTCACCGGGCGCTCCTCCCGCCCGGCCGGGCGCGCCTCCGGGCGCCAGCCTTTTTGGCCGGGCGGCTCATTTGGGCCAATATTTGGAGTTTGATTGGGCTTCAATTCTTCGGGCCAATCTGGGTTTCCTCTTTGGGTCTTGAATACTCGGTCCAAACGCCCCGGTATCACCTATACCGAGCCCTTAATCACCGGTTCGATGACTCTAACCGGCCCTGGGCTATAAAATCTGGTCGTGCTTTTCCAATGCTCGTGATTGCTCCTAAATATCTCGGAAAAATACTCCAAAAGCATAATTCCCTGCAAAAGTCAACCAAACCTACGAAAACACTAGAAAACACCAATTAGTAATAAAAGTGGCTCTAAAGATCCAAAAACACTACTAATTACGACTAAGGGACGGGGGTAAAATACAATATAAAATAGACACATCAATTATTATTATTATTATTATTATTATTATTATTATTATTATTATTATTATTATTATCTATAATACTCCCTTTGTTTTTATTTACGTACTCCATTTTCATTGAAAATTTATGTAATAATGCAGATGCGTGCAAAATTTTGACATATATTTTGTAACTATCAATGTACAAATAAAATAACTGAATCTTAACAAACTATTCAATGTGACAAGCTCATTTTTCCGCGTATAAGGTATTTTTAGTTCGGGTCACACACGTAGTACAGACTTAAATCGATTTAGGTCATTTTGCGTGCAAGGTAGTTTTAGTTCGGGTCAGTTTAGGTTTTGGGTATGTTCGAGTCAATTAATTCGGTTTAAATTTAGGCCAGGTCAATTCGGTTAACCGGTCGATTAGGGTCGGGTCATTTCGGGTATCGGGTCAAATTCGGGTCGGGTCATTTCGGGTATCGGGTAAAATTCGGGTCGGGTCATTTCGGGTATCGGGTAAAATTCGGGTCGGGTCACTTTGGGTTAGGACATTTCAGGTATCGGGTCAATTTCAGGTATCGGGTCAATTTGGGTATCGGGTCAACTTTGGGTCGGGTACAATTGGGTCGGGTCAACTTTGGGTTTCGAGTCAAGGTCGGGTCAACTCCACATTGGGTCGGGTATGGTTCGGGTCGGGTCAATTTCGGGTTTTGGGTCAATTTCGGGTTTTGGGTCAATTTCGGGTTTCTGGTCAATTTCAGGTCATTGTTTTCGGGTCATGGGTCGGGTCATTCGGGTCGGGTCATCAAGTCTTGGTCAGGATTGCCAAGTCTACCACGAACCACCACAACCGGAGCAAGGGAGGTGGTGAGAGCCGTGAGAGAGAAAGATTTGAGGGGCTTGGTCTCGTGTTTGCTAACTCAGGTTTAATTTTGATCTTACTAATCAATTGAATTCTTGTATCATGCAAACCCTAGGCACCTAGTTTATTTATAATCATATTATAATTAGACTAAGGTTAGGAAGCCCAAAATCCTCCAACCTTACTCCATATGGCCGACCACTATAGGGGATGAGGCCCATCATGGGCCTCGTCCTCTCGTGCCAGATCTAGACCCTTTGTGTGACCTTATAGGGTCCGTCCAATTGGGCTTTGGGATATTTTACTAGCCCAATGATCATTAGTACCTCTAGCTATGATAAAACGATGACCCAAATGACCGAACTTAATCATCTCCATAATTTGATCCATTTATATATCTAGTAATTGAACACGACAAAGACATAAATCCTTCAATAATGTGAATGTTGTTATTGCAAAAGATGTTATTGCTGCAGTGGAAGCTCAGGCTTCTGATAATGTCAATGCCATGGATGATGTTAAACCTGATGTGGTTGTTAAACCTAAAATTGTGAATAGGTGATCACGCAGAGCTCGTAAACTTGCTGCAACTTCTAGTCAAGTTGTTGAAGTTGTAAAACTTGAAGAGGGGTATGAAATGTTCTTCTTTTATTAATTGTGCTTTGGTTTACTTTCTTATTAATTTGTGGTTTTTTTAATTTCCTTAACATGAGTTTATTGAATTTATTGTCTGAGATTGTATTTTTTTCATTTTTTATTGGAGTTTTTTGAATGCTTACTTTATAGGGTGTTACTTGTAAATGATAAAGGTGTTACTGTTTATTTGTAGGTTGTAGCGGAGATTTTATGTAAGTGTTACTTGTTAGGGTGTTATTATTTAAGAGGATTACTTATATGAGTGTTACTTGTTTTCTGGTGTGTTACTTGTTAAGGATTACTCATATTAAATTAATAAAGGTTATAGTGTGTTACTTGTTTTATGATAATAGTGAAAGGGTTCACTCTTTGAGGGGTTACTTATTTGTGTTTATTTATAGTAGGGGCTAAGAAGATTACTTATATGAGTGTACTTGTTAACTGCTTAAAATTGATAAAGATTGTAGGCGTTACTTGTTAAATAGGAGTTATTAAGGTGGGTGTGATATAAGTGTTATATGAGTGTTACTTGTTAAGTTGTTACTTGTAAATGATAAAGTTGTTACTGTTCTAAATTCTCTAGTATTTTTCTTTGATGGGTTACTTGTTTGTGTTTTTATTTATAGTAGCGGGTAAGAGGATTACCTGTTATATGAGTGTACTTGTTAACCATTTAAAATTGATAAAGATTCACTAGTAGAAAAAAATACTATTTGTAACGCCCTATTGGTAACTGACATAAATTATGTTAGTTACTACAAGGGTATTAGTAACCAACATAGCTAATGCAGGTTACAAATAAATTAGCATTAGTAACTGGCATAACCAAAGTCAGTTACAAATAGTAGGTCAAAAGATAGGCTGACCAATTATTAGTATGCAAGTTAAACTTTGTTGACTTTATTTAATGTAATGGGCTTTATTTAATGTAATGGACATTATAAAGCCAGTTACTAATGCTACTCACGATTTTTTTTTTTTTTTGAAATTACTCCTACTTTCCGTCCTTCGACATACAACCTAACTTATCAATTACCCCATTTTTTCACAACCACCCTTTTTAATTCTCCTCTAAAACTGCTCTGAAGCTTTTCCAAATCTCAATTATGGAAGATATCAACAAGGTAAGCGCTCGATCTCCTCTTAATTTATTAATGTTTTAATTAATTCTAACCGATTATTCAAGAAATTAAAAGATGAAGTTCTAGGGTTTGTGCTTTTATTTATTTATTTATTAATTTAATTTAATGGTTGTTTAGGGATTTCATTACATACTACTTCCAAATTTGGTGTTCACGGTAGCAGATGGGGGGCGAGAGTTTCGAGCACAAGAGAGAGAAACCAGAGCTTGTAATTCCTCACCATCATTTGGCGAGTGGGTTGATTCCGAAATCATTGTCTGTTGAAGGAGAGCAGGTTGCTACTAGGTGGCCTAATTGGCTTGCCGCCGTTGCAAGGGAGGCTATCTAAGGGTGGGTGCCGCAGCGAGCTGATTCATTGAGAAGTTAAATAAGGTATAGTTCAATGTATCCTTTGTAGTTATTTATTTGTTTCGGAAGATGAACAATACAATAACATAGTAAGAGCTAATAATGCTTTAGAGAAGTGAAATATACTATAAATTTGTGGGATTGCATTGAGAGATTATGCCGAATTGCCGATGAGCTTAGATGGTTGTAGTGTTAGTAGTATGGTTACTTTAGTATGGTTTAAATGGAAATATGTTATCTTAGTTATTATTTGCTCCACTAACTATCTACAACTAGATTAATTTTTGGAGTCTGATGTTTATATCGAAAACGTATTCGGTGGTAATGTTACTAGTACAAATACTTAGTATTTGTTCTGTTTAATGAAAATGGTGCCTTGAAATTGGTTTAATTGGCTGGTTAAATTAGCTTGTAGCTATCATGTGAGAGGAATGTGACAAGGAATAATATTGTAAAAGGAAATAGTGGTGATTGGTGAATATATATCAACTTCAAGTATTAAGGGATATTCATGTGTGAGTGAGGTATTATGCATTATTTTAAAGTTGATTATGTTCTTTTATAGAAGACACTTATTGTGTTGGTGCATAGGCTATTGTGTTTTCCTGTGCATAGGCTATTGTGTTTCTAATTGGTTTAATTTTTTGCAAGGATTAGGAACTTTTTTGCCACCCAACTTTTTTGGCTACCGTTTGGATTTTATTGCCAGGAATAAATGAGTAAATAATTTAGATTTGGTTTTCTATTAGTGAACCTTGCAAAATAATCAAATCAGTTTTCCTTGCATTGCTTTGTTGTTTATTTATAAGTAATTTTTCCTCTAATATGCTGCAATGCAGGAATTTTCAGCCACGGTCGCTTGCCATGTCCAATACTTATGGCCTTACGCCAGCTTCTGATTCTATACTTCAAGAGATTTGTCAGGTTGTTTTTTTTTACTTTATATTTAAAATTTTACTGTTTTTATTTCAGATACCCCAAAGGGGGTTTTGGGGTAATGTTCTTAATTGTTTTCTACTGTCAAATTATTGTTTTTTAATTGATACAGTTTATGTGATTAGAACCTAGATGATTTAATCTGATTATTTTTTGTTTCCTCTCTTTGATTTATATGATTTTTGATAATAGATTTGAGCTTGTTTCTTTGGAATTTGCATCTAAGGATTGTATAGACTTTGGATTTTAGTTAACTGCAATTGATTGAGCATTAGTGGAAGTTTGGTTTATTAGAATTAGTGGAGCAAATTTTTTTTATTTTAATTTTTTTGGTTAAAATTTATGTATGTATATTTGTATATAGATTGAAAAATTATCAAAGTGACGTTGAAATGTTGCTATTATAAAGTATATAATATTGGTTTATGTGTCAGCTCAACTTTATCTATTAAGGTTATTAGAGCTAAACATTGCAAATTAGTTTGCATGGTAAATTAGTATTATCCTTTGGGCATGGGTTATTGATGTTAAGTATGATATTGATAGTTTAGCTCACTGATCATTCAAACTATACTACATTGAAATTCATGTTAGTGTTTCGGCCAGAGGGTGATGGGGATAACTTTGACCATGTATCCAATATTAGAACTACAATGAGATTGGTTCATTAAACTCGTGAATGATAGATGGACTTAATAATAATAATACGGAGTAATAGCTTTACTACCTTTGGTCTTGTATTAATATGGTAGATTTGGCGTTCTCCTTTTATCGTCATGCCAAATTGAAGGAATTGGATAGCCTTATGAGAAAGGGGGATGTATGGCAACACGGCGACACTTATAAGTAGTCTAGTACCTTCTTTGTACTTGTTACTTGAGAATACCTGATCTACTAAACTAAACCCAAATTTCGTATTTGCTTTTGTCCACTGAACTGAACCCGAATTTCGTATTTGCTTCTAGCCCACTGACTAAACTAGAATTTGATCTACTGAACTATAATTGAGAATAATTGATCTACAGAACTAAAATCGAATTTCGTATTTGCTTTTTCAGAACTGAAAATCAGAACTCAAATCAAAGCATAAATTCAGAGCTGAATTCAGAGCTTAACTTTTAGATCTGAAGTTCAGAACTGAAAATCAAAACTGAAATCAGAGCTGAAATTCAAAGGTTACCGATGAATTTACCTCTTTGCAAGCTGAAATGCTATACGAGTTTTAGTTGATGTTTTAATTTTATAATGTATAATGGACACGTATTCTTTATTTTATATTTGCAGGAGTATTTGGCAAAACTTGCAGCCTACAAAAATGTAGAATTGGATGAGATTCGAGAACAATGGGCTCTCAGTTTTTTAGACTTAATTTTTTGTTGAAAAGACTAGTTATCTTATTAATCGATGTTATAATTAATTACATTTAGTTCAATTAAATAAAACAATATAACACATTTATATATCTACTTTTATTTAGCCTATCGGTTATTGTTGTTACATTTCTAAATTATAAATCAATGATTTCTTTATTCAAGTTTTAATTGATTTTTGGAACGTATGGTTAATTTTGTTGTATTGTATTGTTGTGGATGAATTCAAGATGTGTGGAATTATTTAGAGTGTTTGTATTGTATGTTGTGGGTGAATGGAAGAGCTATTGGTTTTGGGGATTTAACATTGATTAAGTTAAATACATTTCCAACGGTCATGGTTCTTCGGCTTTATAGTTCTTTTGATTCTGAAAATTGTAAGTTTAACTTAACTTTTGGAAGGAGTTTACAACTAACAGTAGCCGATGTTCGTGATGTGTTAATGATACCAATAGGAGCAACAACTGTTCCTATTTCACTTAAAAGGAAGAATACTGAATTGAAGACATTGGAGAAAATTATGATATGGGAAAAAATCTCTAGATATATCAGTTCCTCTTTTGTTTAGTAAGATGACAACTGATGAGGGGATGCTAACAGGAAACAATGAGTTTGGAAAATGCTTTGTTATGTATGTAATGGTTACATTTCTTGCTCCTACATCAAATCGATCAGCTGACTTCAAATTGGTTTTAGCTTTGGAGAATGTAATTACGGAGATCAAGAAGTTTAACTGGTGTCAGAATATGTTAGATGATTTGTGTGACAAATTGGCGAGTTCTTCTACACAAAAGTATGTGCTTGGAAGTATTCTGCTGCTTTAGATTTGTTATTTTCATAGGATTCAAGTAGAAGGGTTTTTTGTTGACAGGTCAGTGCCCTTGATCATGCATTGGAATGATGAAACTTTTAAAGATAGGTTGGAAAAAGAAAAGGCACCAATGTAAAAAACGCTATTAGCAACTGGCAAAAAGTGGCTTTTAACAACTGGCGCGTGGGGCTGCTATTGCGGGGGCTACTAATGAGAATATTATTTGCAACTTAGTGATTATTTGCAACTGGCACACTGATTTGCCAGTTGCAATTGGTCTTTTTTTTAACATAAAAAAGTATTATTCGCAATTGGCCTAAAACTAGGCCTGTTGCTAATAGTACCTATTTGCAGCTGGCATATAGTTCGGCCAGCTGCTAATAGTACCTATTTGTAGCTGACATATAGTTCAGCCAGCAGCTGATAGTATGTTTTTGCAGCTGGCAATAGATCGGCCAGCTGCTAATAGTCATTTTTTAAAATAATAAAAAAAAAAAAAAAAAAGCAATTTTTTATCCAAATTTATGCAGGAACTGCTACGTATATCATGTACTCATACAAGTTACTATGGTAACAAAATTTGTGTTGATTTTACTGTATACATTAAATACAAATTTATTAAAATTACAAGGATACCAATCTACAAAAAAAAAAAAGAAAAAAAAAAGAACACATCAGTGATATCGTCTCGGAGCGACACCATTTATGAGAAGCAACGACTCAAATCGACCACATTAGCCATGGATTTCCTGCTAAACATATATAAAAAGTACAATAAACAACAATTGATTAGAAATTCCTCTAAACATAAGTAAAATTAAACAAAAAAAATAAGCACCAAAATCTAACGAGAAAGAACTTGAGTGCTTAAGGTTCAAGTTTTAATGAGAGAAATACACACTGAATTTTACTATGAAATCCAACAGCACAACATGTGGAAATATTTCTTCAAACAATAAAAAAATCCAAGGTCAACAGTTAAATATCTTAGAATGTAGGATTAAAAGGCCAAATGCAAGTGACGTGGATTTTTTTGAGAATAAGTATAGATCAAATAATACATCAGTCCTAAGAAACTGTTGGAACAAGAAAGTAAGTTTTTCGGACAAAGTTGAGCTCAATAACAATGATCATCTACAAAACTGTATAATACAAACAGCTAAATTGTTGGATAGCATAGAAAAAAAATTGCATAACAGCAAAACACCTGGCATACTGAAGGAACCCTTGATACTTTCACAATAAGCACCAAGTAAAACATAGCTTGCAATACATAAGCAGGTAAAGCAGAGATTAAGAATACCAAAACATAATAGTAAAGGCAACAAGACAGTGACTCAAGAGTTGATTAGATCTGTAAAGGGACAACCCTACTTACAAGGTAGATAATCCCTAACATTCCAAATCGATAAACAAACAGTAATAATCAAACAGATGGCCGGAAAGTTGAGCAATTGATAAACTAGCAATAATTATAAGAACATGAATTTCATCAAACGATGACGTACCTATAGAGAATTCAGGGGAGAGTGTTGATGAAAGATATACATAAAAAAAGTGTAGGAAAAGCCTGGTCAATTAACTTTTAGGGAAAGCACTTAAAAAACACAGTTTCGAAAAATAAAAAGGGCCACTTCAAAAAAAGCCTCAATCCTTCCAATTCAAAAGGGGAAAATAAAATCTCTGGTTTTAAGTCATTCAAACAGGATTGCATATATAGCTGATTGTATACATAAGCTAGAACAAAAATGAAATCGAAAGATCATTTCCTAAAAGATGCACAAACATAAGCAAGAAGACTTTTATGGATGATTTTTATTCAAGGAAGTGTAGGGTTAAGAAAGGTTGATTTGATCATGAAAATTTGTCAAATTAACAAGAATACAAGATACAGTGAAACATAAAGCTTTAAAGGATTTATGAACATTATACCTGGCCAAGCCCAAACATTGCCAAGTATCTAAAAGACATGAACCAATGAAACAAGGCCATTATTAGGGGTGAGCAAAGACCCAGGGTACCCGGTACCGGACCCGGAACCGGTTAGGATCCGCCGGGTCCGGACCCGGAACTGGTCCCACCGGTTCCGGGACCGGGTCCAAAATGTCGGACCCGGTTGTAACCGGTTCCGGGACCGGGTCCTAAAATTTCGGACCCGGTACCCACTGGGTACCCGGTTTAAACCAATTCCAGTTCCGGGTACCCGGTCCCGGATCCAGACAATCCGGGTACCCGGAACCGGTACTGATTTAGTTATAAAAAATTTTTTTGTTTTTTTAAAAAACCCAACAATTATGGCCCAATATTCCAGATTTTACCCTAAGTATATAAAGCAAAAAAAAAAAAAACCCTATTCTATCCTCTCACTTTCTCACCCTACTCTGCTTCTCTGCTACAGTGGTACTCACCACTCTCACACTCTCGCTCTCCTCTTGACTGTCGAGTGTCGACCACCGTTCACCGTCGAGCGTTCACTTCTTAATTCCTCCAAAGGTAATTTTTAAACTTTGCATATCAAATTATCAATTGCGAATTTGCGATTATGTATTTATTCGGTTTAGATCTGAAAAACGAAAGCTAATTTTTAGGGTTTTAATCATGAATAGTGTTAATTATGAAAATTACTATTAAAGATGAGTTTGAATCATGATAAAATTACAAATTACAAGTACAAATTAGTTAAACATTCAGATTTGTTCCTTCCCTTGAATTCTCTAGTATTTTGGGTGAATATAAACTCGATTGTGTTGATTGTGCTTCTTCCCTTTCGTTTTAACTTATGTTTTTTTTTTATAAAAATCATATTATCGAAGAAGAATCGTGGGGTTTAATACTTTAATGGGTTTAATCGTTTATTCTCAGATTTCGCAAGTTTAATGGTTTTTATTCTGTTTATTTTGCTATTTTTTAGGCATTTTTATTGCGTAATCTATTGAATTACTGATCTTTCAGTTTCTAGGTTTTACTTTGATATGTTGTGATGTTGTCATTGTGTCAAGTGTCTTGATCTGTTTAGTCTCAAGGTTTAATGTATTGATGTTGTTCTGCTTCTTTGCATTGCTGTTGTGTTGGTGTCAAGTTTCATGAATTGATTTAGTTTATGGGTTTAAGCTATTTCTTGTTTTATTGAGCTGGTCTTTTCTGAAATTTGTAGTTGTGGAGAAAGATGTAGATGGTGATGCATGTGCAGGAACTACAGTTGGATTTCTATGTAGAATTCTGCTTGTTTAAAAGGTTTTTATAGAGGAGAAAGTGTTTCAACAACTAAAGGAACCTTCTTTTCATAAGATTAATTACCATTTTTTCTTTATTAAGTTCCAATTCCTTTTTGTATTCTTCATGAAGATGATGTACTAGGATCTGTGCATATTGTCTCTCCTTTCTTTCTTTGTGTTTATGTGAGTGAGACAATATCAGTTCTGACTGTTGTATGTATTTGTGTAATGCATATAATCACTCTCACTTTGTGTAATGTTTATGTCTTATTAAAGTTTAATTTGTTCCTATTTCAGAACTATGAGCAATACCGACAATTCGTCAGTCCCTATGGATGATGAAAGTGAGGTTGGAAACGAGAATGCAACAACCAAATCAACCAAGGTTGGTGACAAGAGGAAGTCTGAATACTGGAACCATTTTTGGGATTTTAGAGATCCAGTAACCAAAAAAATTGTTCAAGTCAAATGCAAATATTGTGAGAAAATGCTAACAGGTAATACTAATAATGGAACTTCTTCATTAAAGAAACACCTTGGTGCATGTTCAAAATACCCTCCAAATGTAGACAAAAAGCAAAAACTCATTTCTGTTTACAAGTCTCCTGAATCTGATGCTACTATAGTCTCTAATTGGAAATTTGATGAAACTGCTTGTAGACTTGGTTTGGCAAGAATGGTTATTGTTGATGAACAACCATTTTCTATTGTTGAGCGTGAAGGTTTTAGGTATTTTTGTAGTGTTGCTGTACCTCAATTTCATATACCTTCACGTTTTACAGTTGCAAGAGATGTGAAGAATATATTTGTTTGTGAAAGTGGAAAATTAAAGAAATTAATTGGGTGTTTGAAATCGAGAGTGTCACTAACAACTGATTGTTGGACCTCCATTCAAAATTTTAATTATCTTTGTTTGACTGCTCATTTTATTGATGATGATTGGAAGTTGCATAAAAGAATTTTAAATTTTCAATTAATGGATAGTCATAAAGGTAAGGAAATTGGAAAAGTTGTGGAGGCATGTATTCTTAAATGGGAGATTGAGGATCGATTGTTTTCTTTAACTGTTGATAATGCTAGTTCAAATGATGTGGCGGTTGGATATTTGAAAACACATTTTCATGATAAACTTGTTTTGGAGGGTTCATTTTTTCATATGAGATGTGCTTGTCATGTTCTAAATTTGATTGTGAAAGATGGTTTATCTAGTGTGAAGTCTTCGATTGCTCGAATTCGTGCTGCTGTTAGATATGTGAGGAGTTCACCTTCTAGAGCTAAATTGTTTGCACACTCTTCTATGTTGGTTAAAGTTTCTTGTAAAGGTTCAGTTTGTCTTGATGTGGCAACTAGATGGAATTCTACCTTTCTCATGCTTGAAACCGCATTGAAATTTGAAAAAGCTTTTAATAGGTTTGCGGAAGATGATCCTGATTTTAGTAGGGAACTCAAGGATGGAGTACCTACACAAGAAGATTGGGTAAATGCTAAAGTGTTGTCTTTGTGTTTGAAATTATTTTATGAGTCTACAAAGAAAATGTCGGGTAGTTTATATGTTACTACAAACTTGTATTTTCACGAGGTTTTGGAGGTGTTAAGTTGTTTGATAGAATGGGAAAACTCTACAAATATGGATATTCGTATTATGGGTAGACAAATGAGGGAAAAGTTTGATAAGTATTATGGGGATCTCGGTAAAACTAATATCATGATGTTAGTTGCGGTTGTTTTAGATCCTCGATATAAGCTTAGGTTTTTGAAGTATTCTTTTAAAAAACTTTATCCTAACGACTTTGCCAAAGTCGATGTTATTTGTGACAATTTGTATGACAATGTTCAGAAGTTATTTAACCATTATGATGCTATTATTGCTTCTTCCTCTTCCAAGAATAATCGTAATATTAATGTTGCCAATGTGGATAATGGTTCTGAAAACTTGAGCTCTTCAAATAGTGAGCAAATGAAAAAGTTTTATGATGATTTTGATGAGGAAGAAAGTGATTTTATTGTTGA